TTGATCCATAAGAGTATTTGGTATCCAGTGTATCCGATGATAGATATGCTAACCACTAATGATTCAATTTCCCTTTCAGGTATTCTAAGAGAATACAAGCTTAAAAGTCGAACGATTGTGTTTGAAAGAATAATCAGGTATCCAAGGCATAGTGCTGTAAGTCTGTTCCTCCTTCGATATGCATCAATTAATTTTGGGTTTCTTGTTAATGTTGAAATGTATCCTGTTGATACAAATCCAATTCTTTTGTAGAAAGTTAGTAGAAATATTGTTTCTGATATAATTGCAATACATAGCAGTATGTAGAATACCAGACACCATATGTGATATCCTTTTAGAAGTTCAAATAGTGTCTGTATAGATAGTACTATCGTTGCAACAAGGAACAGCATCAATACAACTATTGTGTTCCTAAACACATCAACATCTTTCTTAAGCAGTGTGTAAGTAAGACATAGAAAGAACACTGTATTGGGTAATAGCAGCCTTTCAAGTCCAAAAGCTAAAAAATGTTGTTGTGCAGGTGTTAAGTCTTTTCCTAAGCACAGCTTAATAGCGAATAACATTCCATTCTTGAAGATAAGAGCCCACCTATGCCATTCAACTCTGTAGTTAACTTCTTTCTCTATTCCCACAACACGTTTCATAGGGTAATACAATGTATGGATTAAGTAATACGTTCTTAATGTGCATAACAGTAGTAAATATTTTGAATATTTGTAAATGTATGGGTTATTCAGGTTGGATTTTACAAAAAAGCATAAGAAAAGTGAAAATGTGGAACAGTGGGTAGGTAAATGATTTTTAAATGGTGTACAATGTATAAATATGCACTAGGTTACCACCTTCATGCTTTGAGCATTACGTTTAACAAATTATTGAACCCTAAAATGTCAAGATTTTTTCATGTAAATGGAAATACATCAGAAGAGAACAAGAAGACTGAGAAACTCAAGAGATTCTTAGTAGAAAGATAGATATTCACGGAAGTGTATGTTGACATTATGAACAATATTGAATAAGGTATTTTATACAAGTGAAGAAACACAGTATGATACTGTAATAGGATAATTTACACAGGTAAGGCAGTCGTAATAAGCAGAACAACATACAACAAAAATTCAGTCCCTAACATCAAAACAATGCAATATTCTTGATAGATTAACAATGTCGATTATTCGTGATGTCATATGATTTAATATACGAGTATTTGTAAAGAATGAATAATCAAGGAGTAGACAAATGAATCATTTGTTTGAGTGATATCAAAGTGATATAAATATCAATAACAAAAGACAACCCATGCTCATAGGATTCATTCTTGCTGCTGTATGCTCAGATGAGACGGAAAGATTGGGAGAATCAGAAATAGATTTGAAGAATCACAAAAACCTTAGATCATTTGGTAAGAAAGTGCTGAACTTTTACATTAGGGAACAAAACATGTATAAGGTAGAGAATGTGATAGTAGATTACAAATTAGCACTTTTAGATAATGGCATTGATTGGAGTGCGCATATTCTTGTGAGGGATGATGAGACTGAAAAATATGTAGTGAAAGTTATCACAGGCATATCACCAAAATCAGTAAGAGCAACACAAGTGGAAGTAGAAAAAACAAAATGGCTAAAACATGAAAACATTGTCAAGATGTATTCATCAGCCAGAATAAGAGTGAAGCAGAATGTAGAGAAGGGTGCTACAATTGAAAACAGATTAATGGTAATAGAATATCTGAATGTAGACACTTTTGAGATCCAAGAAAATGTCAAAATGATTAGAAAGATGTTAAAGGATGTATTGAGTGCATTGGAGTATATGCATAGACACAAGATAGCACATTTGGATATTAAACCAAGTAACATCAGGGGAATTGAAACTGAACCGAATGAAATAACCTGGAAATTGTTTGATATGGAATCAGCGATGTATTTGTATAGGGATGGATTAAAGAGACCAATGAATGTTTATACACCAATGTACACGGATGTACTACACAAAAATGAAGCCTCATTCGCTGCTGATATATATCAGGTTGGGATGACTGTCTGGTCATTAATGATGCATGATGTGGAAAGAGAAACCAAAAGAATTGAGAGTTATCAAAGTGAATTTACAGGATTTGAAATGGATTTTAATGAGAAGATTCCTGAGAGAATGAGATCATTCATAAGGGAAGCTACAAACAAGGATCCGAAGAAGAGACCAACAGCAGCGGAACTGCTATCACATCCATTCTTAACAGAAGACGAGTAAATAATAGTTGAATTTGTTGTAGTCAGGAGTATTGAATATGAAGCCAGTGATAATGAGGATGATTACTTCTGTGATGTTGATTTTGATGAGAAGGATGTTGACAATATATCAGCATTAGATTATATTGGATAGCTAATTTATAAAATGTAAGATGGTGAATTAGAAAGACAATAGTTGTTTAGATGAAGCGATTTATGATAACAATAGGAGAAATAACATCAGGTGAAAGTAAGTGAGTTAAAATAATGAATAATTGAACTTAATTTAGTCATTCACTTCATCATTTTGCGTAATGAATGGATGTGCTAACAACTGTTCAGCTGAGCATCTTTTATCCTGATTGAACAATATTGACTTTTTGAGAAAATCAACCAAATTATAATCAATGCTGTCAGGCCAGATGTATGGAAAATGGATTTCATTATCGGCATTCACTGTAATATTCAAATCGTTTCCTAAGCATGCAAATATTTGCTGACTGCAGATTCGATACCTTTCTGACACTGTCTTATTCTTCCATATCAATGGATACACCAATGAGAATGCGAACANGAACAATATTGACTTTTTGAGAAAATCAACCAAATTATAATCAATGCTGTCAGGCCAGATGTATGGAAAATGGATTTCATTATCGGCATTCACTGTAATATTCAAATCGTTTCCTAAGCATGCAAATATTTGCTGACTGCAGATTCGATACCTTTCTGACACTGTCTTATTCTTCCATATCAATGGATACACCAATGAGAATGCGAACAACCAAATATCGCTTTTCAATGTTACCTCTTTGCGTAGAATATGCTCAGGCGGATAATTCCATTGTACTACCTTATCTTTAGGCTTATACGCCTCACCAGGTGATAATACTACAACACAACCAAAATCAATTATCTTGACTATTGTTTTATCCCCTACTCGTTTCTGCATAATATTTTCCAGTTTCAAATCTCGATGAAGAACTCTAGCACTATGCAAATACACTAATCCTTGTAATACACCCTCAGCCAATTCTCTAATCTTATTAACATCACCGTTAATATCACCAACTTTTATTGGCTCAAGGCGTTCTAACAACATCATATTAATGATGTAGGTCTTGTTGACATCATCTACTAACACGTTGATACTGAATGCATATAGATTATACATTTGAAGTAAATTAGGATGTTTTGCCATAGCTAACAATCTTGCTTCTCTGCAGACATATTTTTGTGATACAGATATCTTCAAGCAATAATGATCGTGTAGACACATTAAGAGATAANGCTCAAGGCGTTCTAACAACATCATATTAATGATGTAGGTCTTGTTGACATCATCTACTAACACGTTGATACTGAATGCATATAGATTATACATTTGAAGTAAATTAGGATGTTTTGCCATAGCTAACAATCTTGCTTCTCTGCAGACATATTTTTGTGATACAGATATCTTCAAGCAATAATGATCGTGTAGACACATTAAGAGATAATCACCCTTTGGCTTTTCTGTAAAACCCAACCTCTTCAAGAATGCCCGTACTTTGGATAGGTCATCCCAATCAAATATAGATTGAAAGGTGCGACTAAACATAGTAAATTCTGATTTGTTTCGTAAATCAGTAAAATCATCTATTTTCATAGTCTCTGTTGCTTGGGCAATATCTTCGGTTGTCGTATTTGTTACTGCAGTGTGTTTTTTAACTGAAGTCTGTTCAACTCTCTCATGAAGATCATTTTTACAGGTTGCACAGTTATTCTGACCAAGATGGCACAACAGTGTAGCTCCAACTACTCCAGATAAACTGTTTAAAATCAATGCATTCCATATTATCCTTGAAAACATAAATTGAGGATGTAATAAAATTGATCAAAAAGATGAAAAATTGATTATTTTGTAAATATAGAGAGTAGTGATAGATTTATGATATAGTGTAAAATGCCACTGATTTGTGTTTGATCATGAACTTAGGTGCAATAAAAAAATTACCATCCCTATACCGTTTTCAAAGAAATATCTATACAGCTTGTCTTACTCAACTAAGTTGAGTGTACTGCCTCTTAGATGAACCTTAATAAAAAATGATGGATTTTACCCCAAAAAGGTAGAAGGCCATTCAAATGCTACAGAACAATCAACAAGAAGACGTACATTAAATCACGATTTTGTAGAGGAGTTCATGAATCAAAGATAGCAATTCACAACTTAGGAAACAGAAAGGCATCTGCATTGGCATTCAGAGTCAATTTGATTTCAATGGAACAGGAGCATTAGAATCATGTAGATTTGAAGTTAACAAGTACACGGTAAGGATAATTTCCATATGTGAATATGTCCTCAACCATTGAATATCTTGAGAACAAACAAGATATTGACATGTGCTGGAGCAGACAGACTGGAATGAGAAATTCATTTGGTAAACCATATGGTAGAGCAGCACGAGTATTTGTTGGTCAGCATATCATCAATGTTAGAACAAAGGGTAATTTTGTATCCCACGCTAAAGAAGCATTGAGAAGAGCTAAAAACAAGTTATCAGGGAAGCAATTGATTCAGGAGTCTACGATTCATGAATTTACGAAGATGACACGTGATGAGTATCAGAATCTAAGGAGTGAGAATAGGTTACTGGTTAGAGGAAGTTGCGTGAGTGTTGTTAAAGAGAAGGGATCTATTGAAAAGTACAAGGAGAGAATGACTAAGGCGCTTGAATAGTTAAAGAGTTTTAAATCTATCGCTTATAATAATTTTAGATCAGATTAAATGTCAATGATGAGATAGAAAAAGGTTANATCCCACGCTAAAGAAGCATTGAGAAGAGCTAAAAACAAGTTATCAGGGAAGCAATTGATTCAGGAGTCTACGATTCATGAATTTACGAAGATGACACGTGATGAGTATCAGAATCTAAGGAGTGAGAATAGGTTACTGGTTAGAGGAAGTTGCGTGAGTGTTGTTAAAGAGAAGGGATCTATTGAAAAGTACAAGGAGAGAATGACTAAGGCGCTTGAATAGTTAAAGAGTTTTAAATCTATCGCTTATAATAATTTTAGATCAGATTAAATGTCAATGATGAGATAGAAAAAGGTTACAAAGAGTTTATGAATCGTCTAGATAAGGTATAGTGGGGGGTGTATTGCAAAGAAGACAATATTAGGGAAAGAGTGAAGTGGAGACAGCGTTTTATTAGGCTATTTTCAGCATATTATCGCCTGTTATCTACAGGAAAATGATTATATAAACATATTTGATGCGAAGATGCAATAAAAATAGGCATTTTGTTATTTTAAACAGAGATGTTCATAGTAAATGAGAACTATAAGAGTATTACATCAGGAAATAGAACATACAGTACCATTTAAACAATATTAACACCGTTATTGATGAGATATAATGTGGTTTACAGTGGAAATCTTGTGGTGTCTCGTGAGGTATCTTTGAGTATTTCTTTTAGTCCAGTACCCAATACTTTTGATTCTTGCCATATCACAACAATGGAATAAGAATCATAAATCACTGCAATTATTATACCAGTATCATACTGTGTAAACTCACCTTTGAGAATTATTGCCTGTAATGTGAGAATAGTGCATGTGAGGAGTATTTGGGTAATTACAAGACATATTAAAATATGCCTCTGTTTTCTATTCTCTTCATTGAACCTTAACGAAATAGTGAGCAGTATTGATAAATCAAGTACAAAGCCTACAAACCTGATGCTAAAAGCACCTGCATGATTAAGAATTCGACTTTCTGCAATAACTGTGATGTCTTTGAATGATACTAGCAATAAGAGTTCGGCCAGCAATACATACAGTATAGATGCTAGCAATATTGAATATCCGATACGCAGTCCAAATACTTTGCTCCTCTTTTGATATGCATCAATAATCTTGAGAGTTTTTGTATGTGATGAAATGTAGCTTATTGAGTAAAATCCGATTCTCTTGTAGAATACCACTGCGAAATACATCTCGGTAATTAACACTACAAATAGTAATATGTATAAGATGGTACTTGTAGTTAGCTCTTCCCCTACTAATTGCATTAATGATTGTATTGTATTGAATACAATTAATAGGAAGAAGATTGATAGAATCACCAATGCGTTTCTATAAGCGTCAACATCCTTATTCAACAATGTGAAGACAAATGCGATGTATACCAGTGTATTCAATACCAGGAGAATGTCAATTTTGAATGTCAGGAATTCAAGTTGCAACGGTGTCAGATTTCCACTAATATTCAACCTAGCAGCAAATATTAGTCCGTTTTTGATGTTGAGCAAGCCAGTATGCAACATAGTTCTAGAAACAACTTCATTTTGTAATTCAGGATCATGTTGCATGGGTTTATTAATGTATCCATATTGAATTGTAACATGTGATATTGTAACAATGGTGGATTATATCGATGATCAGACGGAGAGCATAAGAATATCATTGTTCAATTAGGTAAAAAGAATTGATACCAATAAGCCACTAAAATCTCTGATTAAACTGTTTTCTTCATTATTTTGTAGTTTACAAACGCTACCAATACTAT